GGGTGGCAGCTCCAAGAACACAGTATTTGGCTCACGGTTTAGAAGAACGTTCTAGCAATCTGAACTAAGAAGCAAGAGGGCTGTTGCTTCCCAGAGGGGCAGTGCCCAGGTGGAGCAGTCCCTGGCAGGAGAGTTCGGGAGGAGTTGGTGGGTAGTTGAGGCACTGGGGCGAGTGGGGGGTCAGAAGCGCCCACAATCGTGCCTTCACTCTCCCCTCTTGGTTCTCCCAGGTGTGAGCAGAAGGCTGCAGCGAGGAGAAAGGGAGATGGCACATACAGCGGTAACTTTGTGTCAGGCACTGGTGAGTCCTTTGGTCAGGGTTTGCTGCTAACATTTTTGTTAGCAGTCCCGGATGGCTGAAACAGTGCTTGAGGATTAGTGTAGAAACTAAACTTACCTTAGGCTGTCTGAGACCCTGGGCACTTTCTGTGGGAGGCTCAAGTGAGGACTCAGAAGGACAGCGAATGGCACCACGTAGGAAGTTCTCCCTCTTCCTTCCTGTCTGCCTTCCTGGCCTCTCCCCTGCCAAGGCCTCCCAGGGCCAACCCTGGACTTGGTTCTGGGCCAGACTCCCCTCCTGGAGCCCAGCTACCTAGGGCCGGTGCATCGCACCACTGGCCTGTTTCCTGCCTCCTGTGGGCATGGAAACCCAAGAGATGGTTGAATGGCATGAACACAGATGTCTCCCTTCTTGGAGGGCTCCAGACCGAAGTCTCTTTTGCTGCCCCTGATGTTGCGATGGTGCGTTCAAGCTGTTTTTGGCCATAGCGGTTCTCTTCTAAAGAATAGCACTCCCCATAGCATCTCTTAGGCTGACATCTTTGCAGGACCGAGGGCCAGGCCTGGGGAGCGGGTGGTGGGCTTGAACTGCTGACCTCTGGCTCAGGGGGAGGGTGGTCCCGCTCTTAACCACTGTGCCAGGGGCCTCCCCTCGGTGCCGGCTGGGAAGCCGACTCTGTATGATGACCTCTATCGGAGACTGGGCAGAATGGAAGGTGTATCCCCAGAGGCTCGAGTGCTCTGCACCCAGCTGCTAACTGGAAGCTTGTTGGTTCAGACTCTTCCGGTGCCACCACTGAGGAAAGGCCTGTGATCCACTTCTGTAGAGATTACAGCCAGGAAAACCCGACGGCGCCATTTTATGCCGGGCGGGCTCGCTAAGGGTCAGGACTGACTCCATGCCATTGGTGGCTGTTGCTGCCGCAGCTGCAACCGCAGTTCTCGGTTCGTCCCTGAAGCACTCCGGTGCATTAACCTGACGCTGCCTGGTGCCCACTGCAAATACGTACTGCAGCGCCAGCCGCTGCATGTCCTCCCGGACGCAAGCTGGCCTGCACAGCACTCCCAAAGTGCAGCCCTTACCGCACCTTAGTCGCTCTCAAGCTCTCCGCTCGCTCCCCAGAGCCCAGAACACCAATCTCCCTTGGCGGCGCCGTGATGAAAGCTCTTGGCAGGCTCTGCGCATGCCCGGTCTCCCTTAAGCCCATCCCTTCCAAGGGTGGGCACGTGAATAGCGGGAGTGAAAGGATTCTAGTCTGATGGATTCAAAAGGCAATCATTTACACGTTGGGCTCTTGAGCATTAGCACCGCCCCCCCCTACACGTGCGCACGCGTACACACACACACACACACACACACACACACACACACATCTGACTTTTAATGGGACACTTTCCCAGCACTCAGCGCTTGCCCGCATGGATCGGTTCTCACTCAGAGGTGGATCCGATTGTTATCTCCGCTTTCAGTGGAAGAAACGCGGAGGGTGAAATGGAAGGAGTGGAGCCAGGTTCAGAGACCAGCCATCTGACACCACTGCCAAGGCACTCGGCCGGTGTATTACTTGCTTCTATTCTTAGTTACAAATCACACGCAGCCCAGCCCCTGGCACCCCACCACTGCCAGTTAGGGACTTGGAGGATGGGCCCTTCTGCAGGAGGCCGCAGAGGCTCCCCGCAATGTCTCCGTACCACCCTGGCTCTAGGAGCTCTCGGCACACCGACCTGCTTAGCCACTAGAGCAGATGTGCATGGTCCTGATTTTCCAAAATCATTGCCCGCGCCATTCTAACCCCCAGTGACCCTACAGGACCCAGCAGCGCGGCCCCACAGCGCTTCCAAGGCTGCGATCTTTATGGATGTGGACTGCCGCATGTCCCTCCCACGGAGCGGCTGGTGGGTTCAAACCAGTGCCCTTGACCTGCACTTTCCCGCTCAGTCAGGGCCAAGGAAGGGAAAGCAGAGCAGCCTCAAGTTTGTGGCGTGTGGGTGGATTGGATGGTAACTGAGATGGGAAAAAGGCTAGCACGTGTGTGCTGCATAGAAACCAAATTTCTTGACTGGTACAGCTGGAGACAGTGGGGCCCTGAGCACAGATGGCGACTCGCAGTGCCCTTTTGAATGTGCGCTGCTTTCCACAACAACACAAAGCGCACTACACAAGCAACCTCACTGACATGGGGTCGATTCTGACTCATATAGAGATCCTACAGGCCAGGACAGAACTGCCCCGTGGGTTTCCGAGACTGACTCTTTATTGGACTAGGAAGTCTCTCTCCCGAGGAGTGGTTGGTTAGCAGCCCAACACGCAACTTACTGGCAATTATGCGATCTCCTGTATTAGGCTCCCACGCCCCTCATCTTTCCAACCTGGAATTCCAGGGCTGCGACCTCCAATTTTTCCCATTCCAGCTATCACGTTACAAATTTTAGTTGTGTCGACCATGACCAAACTGGCTTGAGCCAGTTCAAAGCTCCGGTCCCCATCTTCCCAGCCTGGAATGACATTCTCCCAGTGGTTCTGAGGTGTCTCGCTAGAAAGGGTTCCTCACCCCCCTTGTTGTTGGTCGGTGTCATCCAGTGGATTCTGACTCACAGAGACCCCGTGTGATGTGACGAACGGCCAGAGGCTTCCCTAGGACGTTATCTGTGCGGAATCAGATGCTCCCAACCCAAACGAGCAAACTCAGAGCTGACTCATCGCAGCCCTATAGCACCGAGCGGAACTGCCCACCCCTCTGGGTTTCAGGTGATGACTGTGTGGTGAGCAGTCCCACCCATGAGCCACAACACCAAACTATGGACCTTTTATCGGCTCTCTTACTGTAGCACCACTAGGGCTCCTTGTCCATTCCATACTCTTTTTGATGGGCACAAGGCAGAAGACTTCGTGTCACAGTGATCCTGAGAGACGGTCTTACTTTCCCTGATACTCCGGGAGGTTCTAGGGCACAGGGACCCAAAGGCCCCTCTGTCGCCCCTCAGAGCTGCACCTGGCCCTCGGCCGGTGGCCAGGAAAGACGAGCTGTCTCCCTGGCTTCCTCACATACTCCCAAGAGATCAGTTTCCTTCTGTGTCTGAGTGGAGCTAAAAAAATCCCTCTTGGTTTCCGATCAGCAGGACCGGCTCTCAGCAAGCCCTGGGACAAGAATGGACAGGAAGAGTCAATATTTATTCTACAGACGAATACATCTGATTCCATCTTCAAAGAAAGCTTTAGTATAAATTATCATAATCTCTCTGTTCTAAGATGACATTGATTTGAAGATGTTTTCATCCACTTAGTAACAGCTTTTAAAAAAAAAATAAATCAAAAAAGAGACACAGAGAAAGGAGTGAGTTAATACGTCCAAGGGAAGATAGGCCCTGATTTTTTAAAAAGGTGACTTCATTCACTGTCATCGAGTTGGTAATGACGCAGTGACCCAACAGGGGAGGGTAGAACTGCCCTGTGACTCTCTGGGATTGTAACTCTGTGTGGGAGTGGAAAGCCCAGTCTTTCTCCCGAGGCAGGGCTGGTGGCTTCAAACTGCTGACCTTGCTGTTAGCAGCCCAACGTGTACCCACCATGCCAAGGCTCCGAAGAAAGTGCGTCTTAGCATCAATGAAACGAACAAACAAACAAGGTCCCAACTCAAATGTTAGCACTCTTCTTTTGACTCGAGTGCTCTCAGCAAAACAAGAAACACTCCGTAGCCCTTCAGTAACCCCCGTGTGCAAACGGTGCCGAGCTCAGACAGTAATGGAGAGGACGGCAGTGTGGATGCACCCAGAGGTGCCTGGGAAGAAAGGCCTGGAGATCTACTCCCACAAGGCCACGGCCATGAAAACCCAGTGGAAGGCGGATTGACTCGTGGATCGCCAGGAGCTGGCCTGACGTGATGACAGCCAGTTGCATCTCCTTTGGTTTTAGCATGGGCTATGTTGTGGCCCAAACTCCCAGCTCAGAACCCCTGTGGACTACTGGGCTAGCAAGTGTTGGTCATGGCCACCAGGCCCCAGTGGCAGCCCCCAGGCGCTGCAAAGCCACCGGGCAGGTGTTCTCCCTGACAGAGATGTCTGCGTTCTGTGGAAAGCAGTCTGTGTGTGTGTGTGTGTGTGTGTGTGTGCATGGTATGCTCTTAGGCACACCCCTGGAACCTCAGTTTACCCACTTGCAAAAGGAGGTGTAAAGGACCAGGTAAGTGGGTTTCAGACTCCGTTGTGGTGGAGCGTACAGGGAGCAGGTGGGATGCAGTGGGCTCCACTGGGTATCCCCATTCCTGCTTCCAGCAGGGCAGCCCTGTTTCATGGAAACTGCCTTTGAGGTCCTTCCAGCATGGTTGTATGGAGAGACAGTGCTCCACTGCCTATTCAGGCTCCCCCTCAGAATCCCTCTCATCCCAGGCCCTCAGGCAGACACCTCCAACCTCTCAAGAGTCTAATCCAAGCATCAGCAACATCGTTTCTATAAAGGACCAGGGAGTAAATATTTTAAACTTTGTGGGGGCAGAGGGTCTTTGTTGCAACTACTCGATTCTGCCTTTCCGGTGGAAGCTGCATTCCAATAAAATGTTAGTGATCAAAACAGAGGGTAGAGTGGGCTGGGCTCCTGCCCATTGCTCACACAGATCCTTCCACCTGACCGGTGAGGAAACTGACATGCAAAGAGGGGTTGAAGGAAGTGCGTGGAAACCTCAGCTCCTAGCTCTCTCAGTGGGTCAGGTTCCATGCCTTCTCACACTTCTCCCTGGCAGCCCTCCCCGCTCGGCTGCTTAGGACCCAGGAAGCTCTGGTCCTCCTGGATCTGGCAGTGCCCCGAAGGGCCCCAGCAGGGTTTGTCGTCCTCCACCTGAAATGTCACTTGGGGAATCCCAGCCATGTCCCTAGTGGGGGTGGAGGGCAGAACCGGGCAGGGTGTGGTTCTCCGTGCCACAGCTGTCAGGCTGCAGTGCGAGGGGCAGAGGTGGCACCACATAGCACGCATTCCAGCGCTGGGGGATTTACCAACAGCAGGTTCTGCAGAAGGCAAGCCTGGGAGCTTTTTATAGCCCTCTAATATTCTGCAGGAAAACTGATCTCTTGGAGAGAGATGGGGGCATATGTATCTTCTAAGCACCCTTCCTTCCCCCTGCTGGATAGTCCCTAGATGCCCACAGTGAGAACTTGGGGCAAGAGTTGCTGTCGAGTGAGCGAGGAGGCGATGCCTTCACGTAGACGCAGAAGAGATCTGAAATCAGTGCAGAGAAGTATTCGAAAGGCCAAAGCCGAGGGAGGGGGGGGGTGATGATCCCAAGTCTGGGTGGTGGGGGCTCGGGCCGCGGCAGGAAGTCCCATCACAGGGAGGTGGAAGAGCAGGGTCATCTCTCTGGATCCCAGTTTCTGCGTCTGTCCAATACCAAGGATGTCTCCGCCGGCCGGCTCACAGCACTGCTGCCTGAGCCCAGAGAAGCCACTGAGGAGAAGGAAGAGTCTGGAGGGTCCCCAGAAGGAAGGCTCTATCTGTCAAGGAGTCCTCCTTCTTGTCCACCGTGACCCCCAGGGAGTGGCCACTGAGAACACACCTCTGTGCACCCGAGGTCGCCCAGCCTCTGCAGCAAGCACTTCAAAGATACCCACGCCTCCCTGGTGCTACGCTGAGATGGACACACTAGGGAATGGGAAAATGCTTCTAGAAGTTAAAAAGCTGCATAAAAACGTATGTTCTCAACTCACAGACGCAAGTGGCCCAGCTGGGGTTAGACATGGGAGCTCCCCTCCCATGTTCGGACCCACTTCCACTCTGCCACTGTGATGCTGGGACACTTACAGGAGGTTCACGCTTCTCAAGCAGGGTTCGCACACCCTGGGAGTCCCCAAGGGAGGGCAGGGCAGGG